ATATATATATATATATATATATATATATATATATATATATATATATATATATATATATATATATATATATATATATATATATATGTGTATGTGTGTGTATTATTATAGGAAAGAGGGCTTCAAATAATAGTGATGCACTTCGCGAGGTCAAGTTCATTTCCAGGTCGTGGTTTTTGGTCGGTTCTATCAGTGACAACTAAAGATGGTTGACAACTATGTAAGGAAATAATCAAAAAGCTAACCTTCACTTCCATTTTACCTTCCAACGTGGCGAGACTAGAAAGTTGATCTAGAAACTGCGAAGGCCAGAATGTTCCTGAGGTTCTGCACAATTTCGCGAAGAAATAACAGTGTAAGAAATTTACCCACAGATCTACCATGGTAAACAGTAGATGTATGAGTTGGTGCTTGAGAGTTATTAGAAATTCTAACAGCTCAAGTTTTAATAGTTTTGTTAATAGCTATGTACTCATAGCTATGTCCAAGAATTCCTCATGGGACCTAGCACCACAAAAGTGAAAATGAACGAAACTTCCTAGGCAATCGATATCCAAAAATTGGATGTTAATACAACCGTAACTGTTGAATTTTATGGCATCTGGATGGAAGACATTTGTCGAGCGAAATAATCATTAACAGTCGTAGATTATTTATAAGTATAATCCCCTTCTTATTTAAAAGGAAGAGAAATCAGCTTGGAACGGTTTCTCGGTAAAGGAAATTTTTTGGAGAAATTTACCCTGTCGCGACATTTTTTTAAAAAAATCATTTTTGTCTGGATGGTCAGTTTTTCTACTTTTATTAACATCCTAGCAGTTCATCGCAGAGGAAGAAATGGAAAGTTTCTTCTATTCCACGAAGAGGTAGTGACCCTCTTTACATCATTAGCAAAATAGTTTTGGGTTAACGTGGAAAGATCTGTCTCAATAGGTCACTTTCTAGATAGTAGGTTTGAGACAAAGGCCCGAATAATCGATTTGGTTGTTTAACTCATTGATGGCAACCTATTAGGAGTCATTTTGTCTTGATCCTTGTCAAAAAACTTTACAGTACTTTTAAAACTGCCGACTCCGCGTCTAAAACCTTTAAAACTTTGAATCCAATATTAGTTTTCTCCTAGCGATGAACATGTAATGGTTTTCTCATAGTGATCCTCTAAGTTATTACTAGCATTGGGAGGTTTTACAACAAACTGTTTTTCAAAGTATAAAAAGTTTCAGTACGCGAAATAGACAGTTTCAGAAGCACTGTAAGGTTTTTCGACAAGGATCAGGACAAAATAGCTTACTGCCATCAAAGAATTAAACGATCAAACCAATTAGGCTGTTCAGTCTGTTGTTCCAAATCTACCGTTTTTTCCCGAAAATCATTCCCTAAAAATAGGCCCTAGTGGCATTTTCGGGGAACGGCTTAATATAAGCGCTTCACTGAAAATAAGACCTAGTTCGGCCTTGCCGCAGCCGCAGCAGGAAGCACCAGTGCCGGCGCGCGCTCCTATAGCCGTGCTAAGTCCTGGATAAGGGGCTCGGGCCCACCCCCACCCTCTGATGGCCATTGCTTAGCCTCTTTGTCGCTCGGTGTGGCCGTGGAAGCGCCGGTGCGAGGGCTTGGGTCCACTTCCACTCCGTGCTGACCATTATCTCGCCTCGTCACCGTTTAGCATAGTCCCGCGGAGCGCTGGCTGGTCACGCCGAGCCTCCAGACTAACTCTTTGATGCTCCTGGACGCGCGGTCTTCCTGCGTTGTAAAAGGCAATATGAGTGGTAAAAGAAAAAGCTATCCGTTGAAGTACATGAAAGGATTTGTGGAGGAATTGTGGAGAAGGCAAGAACTTATAGCTTTCTGCAAGGAAAAGAAGTTGGGTGTCCGACTTTCCGGAAATGAAGAGCAGGGTACAGTAACCTCAGTGAGCAGAGGACGAGGGGAATGCTGCGGTGGATTTTTTCTGAATCGTGGAGTGTGATGTCGATCAATAGCCAAATATCACCAGTGTTGTCGATTGGCTTCCTAAGATCCGCTGGGCTGATTTGGATTGGGTTGTGTTGTGTCGTATTGGGTTGAGTTGGGTCAGGCTGAGTTGCGTTGAGTTGATTTGGGTTGCGAGAGGCTGAGTTGAGTTGATCTGGGTCGCGAGAGGCTGAGTTGAATTGATTTGGGTTGCGTTGAGTGGAATTGAAGTGAAGTGTATTGAGTCCACACCGGATTGTAAAGCCTTTATTGACCATAATGAATTAACCGATTTACAATAGGGTTTATATGCATTACAGAGTGAAAGTGGTTTAAATAAAACGTTAAATTAAAAAAGGGTGTTCATTT